GGTACGTAGACGTATTTACAAGATAAACACGATAAAAACTGTCGCACAATATACAGTGTTGTGGAGTTAGATAATTTTGCTAATTAAAGGACATAATTAAATTATGCTGGAAGCGCTGGGTCTGACTAATCCGCTAATCCGACGTGCGGCAGGTATTCGTAACAAGGTATTTACTTAACAGTGTAATAAAACTATTTCGACGCCCGGTAATGATGTAATGTTTTGTCTGCAAATCTGTATTATTTACATACACAGTAATATGCGATATTGGGATGTATTTATACTAAGATATGTCTTAATATTATATTTCACATAGATATTGTACGGGGAATACAGGGATGGTTTATGTTGGACAGATGTTGCAAACAGCTAAATACTAAATTAAATACAGTCTAATTGCACTAATTAAACGCTCTATTGTTTTTTTATCCAAAACGAGGAAGCTCTTGACCTGTATCTCACCTGATGGTAAGTGCTGATCAGGCCGAAGGTTCTATTATAATGCGTACATCCCTCCCTTTCCTCTATGCTCTACCTCTTGCGATTTATAGGGCCATAAGGCATCTACTGTAAGCTCGCTCCATCGGATTAGGGCAGGTGACAGCAAACCCCTTAACTAAATAAGTCCACCTTTCCGCCCTAAAGACAGTAATAAAATTGACGGTTGAAGAAAATAAGGTTTTTTAAGGCCACCATGTGTGCTGCACGTGCTTGCCAGTCATCAAGCCACCATTACGTAAACCTAAAATGGCCTAGGGGTTCACGTACCCCACTTTGAGAAACCCTGGATTATGAGGACTCCATCGACACTTATCGAGTGAAACTGCCAAAAAATAATCATTTTTAAAGACATAATTTAAAGATTCCTGAGTCGAGGAATCACAGCCTAACTACGGGTACATACCTACACTAGTTTATTGCTACTGATAGATAATAAAAACGCGGTAACACATGAAGAATAAACATTTATTGATGTGAATCATTTTTACAATAAACAACATTTATCGCAGCGACGGCTTATTTGTTTTTACATGTTTTTAACGGAATGTGTTACTTCCAAAGATTAGAACCGGCCTTAGGATACGGTCTCCTCTATTAAACGATATAGATCGTTTCATCCACGAAGACGCGCCCCACGATTCTTCCGCAAATGTTTGAGTGTTATCGGTACACGCTAAAATATCCATGAGTGCGCTTGCACACTATAATGATGACGCTCGAATTGCTCGGATCAAACTCCCCGCATCCCGCGCTTCCCTCGACCAAAAAGTGGTGGTGCGCGTCTTCGTGGATGAAACGATCTATACGCATCGTACGTCAGCGTCAAACGTTCCTATCGACGTCCATACGCCGATGTCAACGTCTGAAAGATATCAAAACGACAGTTTTCTATTATAGTAAGCATTGTTACGCGTCCTACGGCGTTAATAGGCCACCAGTCTTTGAACATTTTCGACGCTAAAGGAATAAATAATCCGTCGACCGAATACAATACTATAAATCTGAAATATATATTTATTACTTCTCTAAGCTACGTCACATTACATTTCAGACCATATCTTTAACACAATCTTATTCCCCCTGTACGTATCATTCCAAAGACGGATAGTTGAAGAGCTTTGAATTCATCTTACTAATCATAGATAGAAAGCATTTTACTACCCGTTCGCGCTAAGTTTGCCGGTCCGTGGAATGCGCGTCCCCTCCCCCAACCGCGATTAATCGCAATAAGTTAGTGATCAACGCAATTAATGTGTCTTATTTTACGCAAATACAAAATTGTTATCAATAATAATAAATAAAAAATATTTTAAATATAGTTTGTTAAAGTTATAGACGCTTCCCTTCGAGTGACGTCATATCGCCAGCAGCAAACTTAAAGCGAACGGATAGTAATAATTTGTTTGTAACAAATTTTACTTTCTTTAGCGAGTTTCGTACGTGTTTCTATGACATCACATGTCCCATAGTGAAGTTGTTTTGAAAAATTTTTTATGCATAACAAGGCAGGTATTTGACCACAATCACACCTGATGTTAAGTGGGATGCAGTCTAGGATTATCACGATGCAATGAATAAATGAATTTGAATCACGTCATGATGCATCACTGACTCGAGTTTTCAGTTTTGAAAATTGCAATTGAATTAATTTTAGCTCAAGAGACAACGCTCTAAAAATGGTACTAATCGACTAGTACTGTCATAGATGTTTACATCGTAAGTTTACAGTAATTAGAAATTTTAAACGAAACTAACTCTTCTGTCTGTAGGTACAGAGCGTTCATTCGTTTGCCATCAAATCATTTACTATGCCATCTATTGCTACCAAACAACAATTTAATTTAATACAAACATACCAAAGCTTCTTTGTTTATTTAATATTTTATACTTAATATTCGTGGAACACACAAAATGGTCTATGGTTTTGTATTAAGATTATTGTGCTCATTTTGACTAGTAATTACAATTATGCAACGATTTTTATTTTAAATTAAATCTCATACGACATTATTTTAGAGCTACGATTATATCAGTACCATTAATAAAAAAGCCAATTATTATTATAATTATTGTTTTATTGGTTCCTTACATCTAAGGCATAGAACGGTAAGTTTAAAGCACATCAAAGCGAATTCTAATATACAGCATTACATTAACATAATAATAAGTATAATAGAAGTTGAATATTTTTAAGGTATTTGCTTGGTAACATTAAAATTAAATAATGGTTCGTTGAGGATTGGCTTTATTAACCAGCTTTAATTACAATATAATCTGTGAAAATGTTATCTAGAGGAGTGTTTTCTGTCTACCCACAAGCCACTTGGGACTATCATAAGGTGACCATAGACACTCCATAAACAAGGCTGTGTTTGGTTCATACAAGTTTCATAACCTAGACTATCAGGAATAATATTATAAACATGTAAATAATATACCACTTCTAATATAATAAAATCTTAACACAATAATAATACTCTTACTGACAGTTGATTGGATATTTTTTGTACATCGACTGAGCATCGATTTTTAAAAGTATGGCTTTAGTATTCATAAAGCCGATGATCTAATATACGATACGAAACAAATTCAATTAATATGAATCGTACATTAGAAACTCGACTATAACTAAACGTAATAAGTTCGAGATTCAACTGTTAATAAGAGTAGAGAACGAACATGACACCGGCGATTTACTCAGTTCAGACTAAAGCAAATAAGACGTTGCTCAATATTTTGAGTCCAAGTAACATGAACATCAAACTATCCCTCTCACTCACACCAAGATACCGGTATGAATGACAGAGATAGCAACACTAAATACGTCAGGGAGTTTCAATGTAAATCGAGAGTGCCGTCGTTCCAAAAACCATTATAAGTAAATATCAACGAATACTAACACCGAGTAGTAAGTTAGCAGTGACTAAAGAGCGCACGCAGCTTATTTAGAACTAATCTTTGAATTTTTGGCTCGTATACTGAAATGACACTTAATAGCATGAATTTAAAGTTGAAATTGAATATTTAAACCAATCAAAGGCTTGCCTGACTCATATTAAGCGTCGTTTCAGAATACAAGCCGTATAGTGTGACCAAGCTTACATGATACTTGATAAATTTTTTTTAAGATTATTTGCTTATTTATAGCAATTTTTTCCTTATTTAAAGCTGGAAAATTGGTGACTTATTTGCAGTAATATTAAGTAGTAGTGGTATATTCATATTGCTTGGTCAAACTATACAGACGAAGAGGCATAGAGGTTACATTCGGTTTAATATAAATCTATGTATTCCGAATTATTGTTAGACGTTCCCTTGGTTTTTTACCATTATACATTTCATTCGAGCCGCTAGCTACGTTAGTTTAATATAAGGTTAGGCAACGGTTGTATAAAAAGTGTACAGTTAAACGCTAAAGTAAATATACAACTTTATGTCAAAGCTGTAAGGCTTTGAATTGTATAAATATTTTCGCGGATACCTGTACAAATAAATGCGAAACACATTGACAATTAAAAAATATTTAATAATATTTATAATTATCTAAATTAAATTCCGAAAATACCAATCTGAGCTTCCCCATTGACGAATTTAGGACTAACGATATTTTGTACATAAATGTATTTAAAATAAATAATTAAATCAAATTATAAGACCAATTTTTGGAAAAATTTCAATAAAATTAGAAACATTTAAGAAATACACAACTAATACATTTTAAGTCAGAATTGAAATTAATCAACATACTACTCAAAACAAAAATTGACCATATTGAAAATTATAACAGTTTTTTGTGACAAATTTCGACTAATATATTTAAATAAACGTCGTTTTGTCTCTTATTACCGCAATATATCGTAATTGTCTCTTTCTTTTAAATGTTGAAAGAGACAAATTGAAAATTGAAAAAGGTGTTGCTTTAAATTTTTTAAGAATAACAAGGTTACACTTTTTTTTACAAAGAAATCAGTAGTGAAATCAATCACGTATAATATCTACACAACGATTTTCGATTTAAACGTGAATGAGCACATCTTTTTAATGCCTTTTAATCTTTTTAATAATTAACAATCCTTTAATTTTAATGAGTTCGATGAGTATTGCACCGCTATTATATTAAATCAGTTCTTTAAATAGCTTAGGTTTTAACATTAAAATATTATCTATGTTTAAATTCTGATTCGATGAGAAAGTTTTCAATGTGCTCATTGCATGACGCATTACGTCATTAATATCTCTAGATACGTCATTAATTCTTCAAGCTCCGCGAATCTAGACACAATAGATAATCAATTGTTATGACATTAATTAATGCCGTCTGGGACTCAATCGGTTAATGAGGGTTTTCGCGATTGAAAAATCCGCCAGATGGCAATACGTAGACGCGAGGTCCAAATGCTGCGTGATTGGTGGATTTGACATATATATGTCAAGGTCATGTTAAAAATAACCAATGCCATCTGGCGGATTTTTCAATCGCGAAAACTCTCATTTAAGACAGTCGACTAAAACACTCGGAATGACGCATTACGAGATTACTCTAACATTTTTAATACCACAGAAACCAAAAACAAAAGATGTGCTCATACAAACGGGAATGCTACTCCAAAAATCAAAGACAAACCTCTCGCTCCTAGTCTCTGGCCGCTCCGATGATGGCAAGGATGTACATGAAGATATTTATGATGTCCAGGTAGAGGTTCAACGCAGCGAAGATGTATTCTTCGGGGGAGATGGTATACTTGTGCTTGCCGCCCATCATCAGTTGCGTGTCATAGACAAGGTAGAAGGAGAACAGTAGAGCCCCCACTGAAGCGTAGACCAGATGCAGGATCTTAACTTCGCGGAAGAAGATCGCGATGAGGCCTGCGGGATATAAAAAGATGATTAAGAGTGTTGGTTAAAGCGTTTGAGAATGTAAAGGATTTTTCTTGAAATAAAAATCAATTTATTGACCATATATTTCCTAAAAAAATCTTTCAGTCTGTCAACTAAGTAAACTATCAAAAAATATTGGACACATTGGACACATATTACATATTTTTTTATTTGTCAATCGAATATGTCATTACAAAATTATGATGCGTTGAAGTACCGCGTGACAAAGTGCTACACTTTTAAGCACTCCTTGACGTCACGGGTTTTTTCTTTTGATAGATAGATTGATAAATGGTTTATTTGCAAAACACATTGACACACAGGCAACAAAAAGTAAGATTAATAAACACAGGAGTAGCAGGAAAGATATAGTACATTACAAAGAGTAAAAAAGAAAATCCTGCGCTAAGGTATAAGTGTGCCGCAGTGCAGCGATGCAAAATAGCAGAGAGCTCAGTGTAGACACTGCTCTAAAATGAGCAGAAAACTGATTTTCAGCTCTTACTTGAAAAAAAGGAAGGAAGACGCACGATTATGGTAGAGAATAAGGTGGTGAAAATGTACTATTGTAAACCTACATAAATATCAGAATTATTAATTTTAGCCTTTTATACGTCCCGCCCGGTATTACTTAAACCCTGCTTCGGGATAGTAAATGGACCAGTGCTGAGAAGCGTATATGAAAGATGATGAAGATCTTAAAAAAATAATGATGCCAGAGTAAAAGGATTTCAATCCTTTGCACATACCACAGAAAAAACGATTTCAAGAAACGGTGGGAAAGTGGGTATGGGTAGGATCGTTTTCTATCAAGGCGGAAACGAGGCAAGAGGAGATGAGACATGGTATAAGGCTTATAATCAGGGTGGAAAAAAATCACGTTTTTTTTTATTTATTTGATTCCATCGCTGCAGCTCCTGTGTTGACCTTGACCGGCTGTCAAGCTGTGACCGTCAATAAAAACCCAACCAATGAAGGTCAAGTTGTCCCGGGAGAAAGTTAAACTGTTATTGGGCCGCAACGATATAGTTCAAAAGAACATAGGAGGAGTTCGAAGTTAAAGGTCGACTTTCCTCCAGTGCGAAGGTGACAAACAAAGGTTTAATGGAATAGGAATGTAACTTTTGGTGGAAAACGGCTATCATTAAACCTTAATTTCGAACTCCTCCTATGTTCTTCTGATTAATTTCGTAGCGGGTCCAATGACCGTTTGTTTTCCCCGGGACAAACTTGACCTTCATTGGTTGGGTTTTTGTGGCGGTCAAGCTGTAGATCCTGGCTACACAGGAGTTGCAGCGGTGGGAACGAGAGGTGGGAATAGTCCTGTATTTTGAGAAGTTGGCTATTTGCGAGCGGTTGGCATTTTGAGAAGTTGGCCTTCTGAGCTGAAAGAGTAAAGGAGAAGCCAAAGGAACACGAGACAACTTACCGAAGAGCAGGAAGACGACTGTGGCGCATAGCAGCACGCCGCCCATGGTGGTGAAGTCCCACTTGGTCTGGAAGGCGAACAGCGTCAGCGCCAGGCACACCGCCGCTGTGATGCCGATCGCTATCATCACCTACAAATAACAATTATTTTCAAGTTTCTGTGAAAAATCGCACCTATTGTCGGCCGTTTGGTGTAGTGGTTCAGAACGGACTACTATGCCGAGAGGTCCCGGGTTCGATTCCCGGCCGGGCAGAAATTGAAATGATGAATTTTAATTTCTGTGACGGGTCTGGGTGTTACTATGTATAATATGTATTAAAAAAAAAGTATATAAGTAGTATATCCGTTAAGCTAGCACCCATAACACAAGTAATTAATTGCTTACTTTGGGGCTAGATGGCGCTGTGTGAGATTGTAAAAAAAAAAATGATTTTTTTTCATGGAAACTGTGTTTTTTTAAATGCTTCTTATGTTAACATTTTAAGGGCCCTCGCCCACGGCGGCGTTTACGAAACGCGCGACAGTATCGCTACTAACGCGCGTTAGTCGCATTTGCAACGCACTACAGAAGTGATGCCAACACGCTACTAAAGCGCTACAGCAGACAAAATTGCCGTGGGCAAGGGCCCTAAGACACATGGTAATTAAAAAATAAACAGTTTTTAACAAAAAAAAAAACTGTCGTAATACCTTTTTTCATACAAACTTGAAAAGTGAATAACTTGAAAAATACAGTTGGCTGTATAAAGAGCCCTATTGCGTCGCGTTAAGGTCGACCGCACAGCTGATCTAATACATGGAGGAGCTGATACATTGCGAGCCTTACTGCCCGGTCTTAAGGTCGACTCATCAAGCCTTAATTCTCGAGCAGTAGCCGCTGCATAATGAGCCTTACTGCTTCGCGTTAAAGTCGCGGCCAGCTCACTGAGCTCGCCTATTGATGTCACGGTATAGTGAGCCCTATTGCTTTGCGTTAAGGTCTCACTGAGCTGGTCTGGTACATGGAGGAGGAGACGCCCAGCAGGAAGCTCTGCGCCGCCGTGAAGATGGCATTGTATAGTGAGTCTTACTGCCTCGCATTAAGGACGCGCTTAATCATGTAGCTGGTCGGTATACAGAGGTGAGGCCACGGTATTGTAAGCCTTACTGCCTGGTGTTTAGGACGCGCTGACTCACATAGCTGGTCTCGTATATAGACACTGATGCTGCAGTATTATGAGCCCTTACTGCCTGAACAGTAGCTGCTGCATAATGAGCCTTATTGCTCCGCGTTAAGGTCGACTCATCAAGCGTCGGTATACTGAGGTGATGCCACGGTATTTTGAGCCTTACTGCCCGAGCAGTCTGCTGCAAAATATGCCTTATTGCTTCGCGTTAAGGACTCACCGAGCTGGTCTGGTACATGGAGGAGGAGACGCCCAGCAGGAAGCTCTGTGCCGCCGTAAAGTTGGCATTGTATTGTGAGTCTTACTGCCTTGCATTAAGGATGCGCTGACTCACATGTCTGGTCTCGTATGTAGACACTGATGCCACAGTATTGTGAACCTTACTGCCCTAGCAGTGGTTGCTGCAAAATATGCCTTATTGCTTTGCGTTAAGGTCTCACCGAGCTGGTCTGGTACATGGAGGAGGAGACGCCCAGCAGGAAGCTCTGCGCCGCCGTGAAGATGGCGAGGAATATGAAGTTATATTGTGAACCTTACTACCTTGCGTTAAGGACGCACTGACTCAAGTAGCTGGTCTCGTATCTAGAGGCGATGCTACAGTATTGTGACCCTTACTGCCCGAGCAGTAGCTGCTGCAAAATATGCCTTATTGCCTCGCGTTAAGTTCTCACCGAGCTGGTCTGGTACATGGAGGAGGAGACGCCCAGCAGGAAGCTCTGCGCCGCAGTAAAGTTGGCATTATATTATGAGTCTTACTGCCTTGCATTAAGGATGCGCTGACTCACATAGCTGGTCTGGTATCTAGAGGCGATGCCACGGTATTGTGAACCTTACTGCCCGAGCAGTAGTTGCTGTATAATGAGCCTTATTGCTTTGCGTTAAGGTCGACTGAACTGGTCTGGTACATGGAGGAGATGAGATGAAGATGGCATTATATTATGAGTCTTCTTCTTATTCGTTACGCTCTTGGGAGAGCTGTCGTGGTCACGTTGAGGCGTTGTTCACATCGGTTGTAGAGGCAGATACAACTCTCCGCACGATCTCCCGCCATCTCTCGCTATTGGCAGACTGTCTGGTGCAGTCACATACGCCGTCTCAAACTGCTGATTTTACTTGATCGGTCCAGCGCATTAGTGACCTGCCACGTGATCGGGTTCCTTCGACTTTTCTTATGCTGATGCAAAATATGCCTTATTGCTTTGCGTTAAGGTCTCACCGAGCTGGTCTGGTACATGGAGGAGGAGACGCCCAGCAGGAAGCTCTGCGCCGCCGTGAAGATGGCATCGTATTGTGAGTCTTACTGCCTGGCATTAAGGACGCGCTGACTCACATAGCTGGTCTGGTATCTAGAAGTGATGCCACGGTATTTTGAGCCTTACTGCCCGAGGAGTGGTTGCTGCAAAATATGCCTTATTTATTGCCTCGCGTTAAGGTCTCACCGAGCTGGTCTGGTACATGGAGGAGGAGACGCCCAGCAGGAAGCTCTGCGCCGCCGTGAAGATGGCATCGTATTGTGAGTCTTACTGCCTCGCATTAAGGACGCACTGACTCACATGTCTGGTCTCGTATGTAGACACTGATGCCACAGTAGTGTGAACCTTACTGCCCGAGCAGACTGCTGCAAAATATGCCTTATTGCCTCGCGTTAAGGACTCACCGAGCTGGTCTGGTACATGGAGGAGGAGACGCCCAGCAGGAAGCTCTGCGCCGCCGTGAAGATGGCCAGGAAGATGAAGTTATATTACGAACCTTACTGCCTCGCATTAAGGACGCGCTGACTCACATAGCTGGTCTGGTATCTAGAGGCGATGCCACGGTATTTTGAGCCTTAGTGCCCGAGCAGTAGTTGCTGCAAAATGACCCTTGCTGCCCGAGCAGTAGCTGCTGCATAATGAGCCTTACTGCTCCGCGTTAAGGTCGCAGTCAAGTCAACTGAGCTCAACTGGTGATGTCACAATTGCTTTGCATTAAGGACGCGCTGACTCACATAGCTGGTCTCGTACGTAGAGATGATGTTGCTGCAAAATATGCCTTATTGCTTTGCGTTAAGGTCGACTCAACTGGTCTGGTACATGGAGGAGGCTATTGCAAAATATGCCTTATTGCGCCGCGTTAAGGTCGCGGCCAGCTCTATGAGCTCGCCCGGTGACGTCACGGTATAGTGAGCCTTATTGCTTCGCGTTAAGGACTCACCGAGCTGGTCTGGTACATGGAGGAGGAGACGCCGAGCAGGAAGCTCTGCGCCGCCGTGAAGATGGCCAGGAAGATGAAGTTGTATTACGAACCTTACTGCCTTGCATTAAGGACGCGCTGACTCACATAGCTGGTCTGGTATCTAGAGGCGATGCCACGGTATTGTGAACCTTACTGCCCGAGCAGTGGTTGCTGTATAATGAGCCTTATTGCTTCGCGTTAAGGTCGACTCAACTGGTCTGGTACATGGAGGAGATGAGATGAAGATGGCATTATATTATGAGTCTTCTTCTTATTCGTTACGCTCTTGGGAGAGCTGTCGTGGTCACGTTGAGGCGTTGTTCATATCGGTTGTAGAGGCAGATGCAACTCTCCGCACGATCTCCCGCCATCTCTCTCTATTGGCAGACTGTCTGGTGCAGTCACATACGCCGTCTCCCACTGCTGATTTCACTTGATCGGTCCAGCGCATTAGTGACCTGCCACGTGATCGGGTTCCTTCAACTTTTCTTATGCTGATGCAAAATATGCCTTATTGCTTCGCGTTAAGGACTCACCGAGCTGGTCTGGTACATGGAGGAGGAGACGCCCAGCAGGAAGCTCTGCGCCGCCGTGAAGATGGCCAGGAAGATGAAGTTGGTGGGCGCGGTGCGGCGCACTGTCTCGCAGCACGCCATCGCGATCAGGCACACGAACACTGTCACTAGCGCCACCCAGCTGGGAAGCCGCCGTGACGATGCCAGGCATTGTGAACCTTACTGCCTGGCGTTAAGAACGCGCTGACTTACGGCTGGTTGGTATACTGAGGTGACGGCACGGTAGTGTAAGCCTTACTGCCTAGCGTTAAGGACGCGTTGACTTAAGTAGCTGATCGGTATACTAAGGTGATGCCACAGCATTGAGACCCTTACTACCTCGGTCTGGTATCTAAAGCCTGGTCCGTGAGCACGTAGAATTTTGTCCAATGACCCCAAACTACCCATCCTTATCGCTCGCGCGTAATTATATTGCTGTCGCGACTGTGCGACGGGCGCCCCTAGTGAGTGTGCTCACGGACCTGGCTTTAGAGGCGATGCTACAGTATTGTGACCCTTACTGCCCGAGCAGTAGCTGCTGCAAAATGAGCCTTACTGCTCTGCGTTAAGGTCGCGGTGATGTCACGATTGCTTTGCATTAAGGACGCGCTGACTCACATAGCTGGTCTCGTACGTAGAGATGATGTTGCTGCAAAATATGCCTTATTGCTTCGCGTTAAGGTCTCACCGAGCTGGTCTGGTACATGGAGGAGGAGACGCCCAGCAGGAAGCTCTGCGCCGCCGTGAAGATGGCCAGGAAGATGAAGTTGGTGGGCGCGGTGCGGCGCACTGTCTCGCAGCACGCCATCGCGATCAGGCACACGAACACTGTCACTAGCGCCACCCAGCTGGGAAGCCACCGTGACGATGCGAGGCATTGTGAACCTTACTGCCTGGCGTTAAGGACGCGCTGACTTACGGCTGGTCGGTATACTGAGGTGACGGCACGGTACTGTAAGCCTTACTGCGTAGCGTTAAGGACGCGCTGACTTACGGCTGGTCGGTATACTGAGGTGACGGCACGGTACTGTGAACCTTACTGCCTCGCATTAAGGACGCGTTGACTTAAGTAGCTGATCGGTATACTAAGGTGATGCCACAGCATTGAGACCCTTACTACCTCGGTCTGGTATCCAAAGCCTGGTCCGTGAGCACGTAGAATTTTGTCCAATGACCCCAAGCTACCCATCCTTATCGCTCGCGCGTAATTATATTGCTGTCGCGACTGTGTGACGGGCGCCCCTAGTGAGTGTGCTCACGGACCTGGCTTTAGAGGCGATGCTACAGTATTGTGACCCTTACTGCCCGAGCAGTAGTTGCTGCTAAATGACCCTTACTGCCCGAGCTGTAGCTGCTGCATAATGAGCCTTACTACTCGACGTTACGGTCGCGGTCAGCTCACTGAGTTCGCCCGATGATGTCACAGTATAATGAGCCTTATTGCTTCCCGTTAAGGTCGACTCAACTGGTCTGGTACATGGAGGAGGCTATTGCAAAATATGCCCTATTGCTTTGCGTTAAGGTCATACCGAGCTGGTCTGGTACATGGAGGAGGAGACACCCAGCAGGAAGCTCTGCGCCGCCGTGAAGATGGCATCGTATTGTGAGTCTTACTGCCTGGCATTAAGGACGCGCTGACTCACATAGCTGGTCTCGTATGTAGAGATGATGTTGCTGCAAAATATGCCCTATTGCTTCGCGTTAAGGTCATACCGAGCTGGTCTGGTACATGGAGGAGGAGACGCCCAGCAGGAAGCTCTGCGCCGCCGTGAAGATGGCATCGTATTGTGAGTCTTACTGCCTGGCATTAAGGACGCGCTGACTCACATAGCTAGTCTCGTATGTAGAGATGATGTTGCTGCAAAATATGCCCTATTGCTTCGCGTTAAGGTCTCACCGAGCTGGTCTGGTACATGGAGGAGGAGACGCCCAGCAGGAAGCTCTGCGCCGCCGTGAAGATGGCATTGTATTGTGAGTCTTACTGCTTTGCATTAAGGACGCGCTTATTCATGTAGCTGGTTTGGTGAGTAGATGTGATGTCAGCGCATTGTGAGTCTTACTGCCTTGCATTAAGGATGCGCTGACTCACAGAGATGCTGTCGCAATATTGTGAGCCTTACTGCCCCAGCAGTCTGCTGCAAAATATGCCTTATTGCTCCGCGTTAAGGACTCACCGAGCTGGTCTGGTACATGGAGGAGGAGACGCCCAGCAGGAAGCTCTGCGCCGCCGTGAAGATGGCCAGGAAGATGAAGTTGGTGGGCGCGGTGCGGCGCACTGTCTCGCAGCACGCCATCGCGATCAGGCACACGAACACTGTCACTAGCGCCACCCAGCTGGGAAGCCGCCGTGACGATGCGAGGCATTGTGAACCTTACTGCCTGGCGTTAAGGACGCGCTGACTTACGGCTGGTCGGTATACTGAGGTGAGGCCACGGTACTGTGAACCTTACTGCCTGGCGTTAAGGACGCGCTGACTTACGGCTGGTCGGTACACTGAGATGACGGCACGGTACTGTAAGCCTTACTGCCTGGCGTTAAGGACGCGCTTACGCATGTAGCTGGTCGGTATACTAAGGTGAAGCCACGGTATTGTGAGCCTTACTGCCTGGTGTTATTAAGGACGTGCTGACTCACAGAGCTGGTCTGGTATCTAGAGGCGATGCTACAGTATTGTGACCCTTACTGCCTTGCATTAAAGATGCGCTGACTTACATAGCTGGTCTGGTATTTACAGGTGATGCCACGGTATTGTAAGCCTTACTGCCTGGTGATTAGGACGCGCTGACTCACATAGCTGGTCTCGTATATAGACACTGATGCTGCAGTATTATGAGCCCTTACTGCCTGAACAGTAGCTGCTGCATAATGAGCCTTATTGCTCCGCGTTAAGGTCGACTCATCAAGCGTCGGTATACTGAGGTGATGCCACGGTATTTTGAGCCTTAGTGCCCGAGCAGTAGTTGCTGCATAATGAGCCTTACTGCTCCGCGTTAAGGTCGCGGCCAGCTCACTGAGCTGGCCCGGTGATGTCACAGTATAGCGAGTCTTATTGCTTTGCGTTAAGGACGCGCTGACTCACATAGTTGATCTCGTACGTAGAGATGATGTTGCTGCAAAATATGCCTTATTGCTTCGCGTTAAGGACTCACCGAGCTGGTCTGGTACATGGAGGAGGAGACGCCCAGCAGGAAGCTCTGCGCCGCCGTGAAGATGGCCAGGAAGATGAAGTTGGTGGGCGCGGTGCGGCGCACTGTCTCGCAGCACGCCATCGCGATCAGGCACACGAACACTGTCACTAGCGCCACCCAGCTGCGAAACACATGTTTTGATTTGAGGAGATTTTGATTTAAAATTTTGTTTTAAACCTTGTCAACTGTCATCCGCTTTGCAATGGAGGGAAGTCGAACCTTAATTTCGAACTCCTATGTTCTTCTGATTAATTTATTAGCGGGTCCAATGACAGTTTAACTTTCCCCTGGGACAAACTTGACCTTCATTGGTTGGGTAAATATGGCGGTCAAGCTGTAGATCCTGGCTACACAGGAGTTGCAGTGGTGGGAACGAGAGGTGGGAATAGTCCCGTATGTTTTGATTTGATGCAATGAGTTTTTGTACTTAAAGGCTGATTTACACGTATTAAGTAGTTAAGTATTTAACTAAATTCTATCTTAATTTTAAGTGATCAAATTGCTTCGTAATTAAATTTAAACTTAATTCCAAACGTCAAGCTCGTGTTTACTATGAAACCAAATCGTGTCAAGTGACAAGCCCCGCCCACCAACTTGACAGAAAAATGTAGGTAAGTTACCTACTTATCTACTTAATACGTTGATTTACACGAACTTAACAGTTGGCATCATTAAATCTCAACACAACTAAGATGCTGTAAAGTACGGCTAACGAGAAGCGATACCAAATGTAAACAAACCCAATGTCATGGTCATTTGGAATAGTAGGGGTGGGTTGCACCACCTATCTTTAACGGTAACTATGACGATAACCGGTGCTTTTTGTATGGAATTTGACAGATTTTTGACGTTTGTCAAAGTTAAAGTAAGATGGTGCAACCCATCCTAAGGGTTTGACTTTGACATATTTTGGCGGGAGAACGAGACATTACGACAAATACACAAGATGGGAACAGACAGAATAGATTGTCAGTTCGACAGTCGAATCGACCTTTTGTATCGTTGCTAGTTGGCCGTACTTTAATCTATTTTGAACTTGACATTAACAGAAGAATGGAAATACTCACAACAGCCAAGTGTTGCGAGCGACCCATAGCTGAGTGCGTTTCTCGAACAGAAACAGCGCGATGAAACCCATCGTCACCAGCAGCTGACACATCAGGATGGAATACACCTGCAAACACAAAATAATCATATTATATTCACTCATCTGCACCAATATTACAAAGCTGAAGTTTGTTTTTTTGGTTGAACGCGCTAATCTTAGCTACTTTTCCGATTTGAGGATAGCCCATTTATCGAGGAAGGCTTTAGGCCAGTGTTTTTCAACCTTTTTCATGACACGACAAGCCTAAAAAAATATTTTGCGACCCCTCAACCGTTCGCTTTTTTCATGCATTTCACAAAGATGTTGTACGGACCGAATTCTTCATTCTACAGGGTGTTAGGTAAATGGGTATATGAGCCGACACTAGCCCATGTTAACATGGGCATATAAATGGTATGGTGAAGTCAGAAATTTGATATCATCATTTTATTTTTTTTATTTTCATACAAAATAAATTTTGCAAGTTCCGATTTGTACTTGACCGATTGTATTTGACCATTTATATGCCCATGTTAACATGGGCTAGTGTCGGCTCATATACCCATTTACCAAACACCCTGTATACAACATTTATGCTTTTGCATAAATAGATTTCGGAAAACAATAATCTATCTTGAAAACTTTACTGAGGTAGTTTTTACGACTTCTCGCGACCCCACTATAGAGGCTTCAAGGCACAGGTTGAAAAACACTGCAGTTTAGGCTATTTAACATCACCCTACAGAAAGAAAAATGTTGCAAAAACGGGAAATATTATTCTTACTATTTTCTCACCACAATAATATTCACTCGGTGAATAAACAATCTCTGAATGAAAATTACCTTGCGTATGAAGGACTTTCTGATGGACTGTTCGTTGAAGTCGAACCCTTTGACGTCGCCATCCTCGCCCACGCTTCCTGGCGGGCCGTAACCTGGGGGCTGAAAATTAAAACATACAATTATGACAACATTATAAAAAATCAACGCCTCAATAGGGATGTTTCCTAGGTACAAAAGCAAGAGTTTGAATAAGACCGTCGGTTAACTTTATATCAAAAAATACTCGACACGTATTTTTCACTTTTTCAAACTAATGAAAATTGCGAGATAAAGCGCGCCAAAGTTCAAAAGAAGAGGCCCGTGACGTCAATGAGTGCTTAAAAGTGCAGCACTTTGTGACGTCGCGCGGAACTTCAACATAACTTTGTATCTGTTTGATTGATAATTAAAAATATACGCTTCCAATATTTTTTTATGTTTAACTTTAAAGGNGAGTTGCGCTCCGTGTATTGACCATTCTGGGTGGCGTAAAAAACATTGAATCCGCCTGGATCCGGCTCGAAGATTGTAAACCACCAGCTTTTGCACGGAGTACTTTTCAACTGACGCAGACGTCAAACCAGTTTTTTAATGAAAATCAAACCTAAGAGAAAAACCTCTACGGAGGTTTTATGCATCGGCAACACTATTGATGCATGAATGCTTTCTTAAGTCCTTAGTATAATGTCCAGATATTTTTAAAACAAGTTCTAAGTTAAGACCGTAACAATTGCTGTGATGTACCTTGTGGAGCATAATTTGTACATTCATACATTCACTCCGGATCCTTCTATACTACAAGTATGACGCAACTTTTACTTTCCGTCCTAAATATCCGTTAAATCATCCGTAAATTCCTTTCAACGCCTCAGGAATGTCTTCTCTCTATTGATATCAAAAGGCATTCACAGCATTAGGAGCGAAACACCAATCTATCTTCCATCACCAACACAATGCTGATAATTGACTCGCTATGCTACCATTCTACGTCGACATGTCAAAGGGTGGACCAAAAAACGCACAAAAGGTGCTATAAGTAAAAATTACCCGATTCTTATGAATATGTATGTATCATTATGGGTAACATATGCGCGACACATGGTCGATGGAGCATACGGCCTATTGATAATATTGGATATTTCGTCTGCAAGGGAAGTCGGGTTTTTTGCCCCAATTAAATGTGTAGTGTACAAAATGGTCCTTCTTTAAGGCGCTTTTGTAAAGGGTTACTTTTAGAGTTAGGTGTTTTATTGTGTTACTCATTTAGTAAGGGATATACTGGGTTTACTATTTAAAATGTAAAGGATTTTGCAATCCAAATACAATTAAGACGTTTTGTGCTTACAATTACCAGGTACGTAGATACCATACATTTTTGTTGATTTGATTGAAAAAAATAATTAAACAATGGTTACGTTCATTTTCACTCATACGTAAAGACAGCGAGTATTCTTATTGGGTTCCTAATATTTCATTCATATTTAGGTATCGCCCTTGTGGGCCATCAATATGTTCATTAGGAACAAAAAGCTGCCTAACCAACTTTTTCTAACAACGTTGGTGGCACTTTTATCATGTGTTCCATATCGATAAAATGCTCTGATAAAGATCCAGTTTCGCGAGATGACTAACATTAAATTGAAAATGGTATTTGCGTATTAAATTAATCATTAAACATCTCACAGACGACAGCACATCAAGGTGCATTTTATGCAGTAGGGTAAGGTGGTGTAAGAGTGCGCACTTTAATTTTGAGACCCCATAAAAAAATTAAAAATACCACATTTAGAAAAATCAACTTTATTTATTTATTAACTCTGTTTATCTGTCAACAAATTATAGAAGAACAAATCACGCTTATGTTATTAGTTAAGGTAGGAACTGAAGATATATAAAAAATGAAAATTGCGCACTCTTATACACCCAGGTGTATAAGAGTGCGCGTTGAGTCGTATAAGAGTGCGCGGATTAATTCTTAATGCACAAGTCGCACGTATACAGTCCTTAGCCTAAGTAGCCAGTACAGTGTTCATGCCACCATTACCGGCACACTGAGCACTCGATCCAATCTTCCGTGATAGGTTCTCGACTTGTGCCTGGTTGAATTCCATAGCTCTAGCAACGCTTGTAGCAGTTGGTTGTCTCAATGATATCTCAGGATATCTCTTCAAAAACACCTCAACCATTCTTTTCTAGCTAATTTAGATTCTGAATTAAAACTGTTTGGTATATCATATAGTTGAGCATACTCAAAAGCTAGCCCACGCAATACCTTTGCGGTTAATCCAAAGTACATGTTTTTAAATGGTACCTGAACTCTTTTACAACTTCATTCTTCGTATTGTGTTGTCGGGAAGAAGTTCTTCTTTCTCCGAGACATGCTGTAAATACACAAAATAAAATATAAGCATAATTAATGATATTTTATTTTACCCACAACACTTCACTAAATAAACGTCGTATAAGAGTGCGCGCGCAATCTTATACGCACACTCCGTGCGCACTCTTATACGTTTGACCCTTTTCAAACAAAATGAACCACTGCCGCCATCTATTGAGTTTTCGGGCAAGTTTTTCGAATGAATCGGTTAGCTAAGTAGGTAAGCTATTTGCATAAAAATTGAATAATTTTGTTAAACTGAAAGTCTACGAACAGAAATCTTTGCCAAACGCAATAAAATTAGATCAAAACGAGTAAAAAAGTTTCGACTTACGTGGTATCTCCTGTTTTTAACCAATTTCGTTTTTTTTTCGGCAGCGTAACCTTTATCACCAACAGATCAAAACACAACTAAAGCTAGCCGCATAGCCCTCCCAGGATCGACGTGACGTGCGATGCGCACTCTTATCGCCCGCGCACTCTTACACCACCTTACCCTAGTCATAGATGCTATTCTCCAATAAAAATGTAGGACTATACCTGGAAGTTGTGTTGACCTTACATATTATATGGATGTCTGGATGTTTGTTACTCTTTCACGCAAAAACCACTGAACGGATTTTGATGAAACTTTACAGTATTATTGTTTATCACCCAGAATAACATTATAGGCTATAATTTATGACGATCTGTGACAAACTAAATTTCACGCGGGTGAAGCTGCGGGCAAAAGTTAGTTCACCAATAATAGATATATGTCACATTGAGATTGTCACAAAGTGATGTATTTAGTAAGACAAGCATTTCTTTAAATAGTAGTGACAACTTACCAAGTGGTGTTATAAATCAGTGATACCATTTTAACCTTTGTAATGTGGATAAGGAAGGCACTTATTGGCTGGCTTTTTAATTTATGCAGAACTATAATCTTTTATTCAATCTATCCTATTCTTTTCGCAGTAATAAACCAATATCATCACAAAGTAAATTTCTACACAAAGTAAAGCATCATTACTTATGTTGCTCAAGCATGAAATCGCGTTAGATATATCACAAATCAATCTATTCATAATTGTCCATTATAACGGCACAAGTTGATCACCCAATTTTAATTAATTTATTAAGACAACAGCTCGGTTAATACGTGATTCGTTTTACCGATGTGCGAGCTATTAATCAAGTTTTTTGGCCCGTGGCAGTTTGGGGTTCCATGGGAAATGGGAAAACCTTAATAAACTGTTTAGTTTTCCAAAAACAATTGAGTTTAAGGTGGTGAAGGTCACATTTACTTCACCTTTTCTGTTTATGCGAAAAAATATAAACGTTTAAATACATAGTTCGTCAACCTGCGAATGCGTGTGAGTTGGCATCTTTCGATTTTAACATTTTTTTTGTAGTCAACTTTTTCTTGTAGGCTGACGAAAAGTGTAGAGTCGGTTGTAGACTGAGTCTGAAGTACGTGCAATACGTGCATACTTTTGCCTGATAATATCTGTCAATAATACCTGCTCCAGTCAGGTACATATCTATGTCAAGGAACAGATTTATTCAATAAACAATTTTATACATTTACAAGAAAACTTAAAATTACTTGAAAACTATGTCAAGAATATTTCGATTTGTAGTTTCTTCACAAAAAAACACAATGAAGAACCCATAGAAAAAAAATCAACACAAAATTCAGCGACCTCGCGTGATTTAAAAAAACCGCTTAACACATTCACCGTCGGCGCTATCTATACGACATAGAAATCATAGTTTCTTGATTATAATGTGCCTAAAAATTGCAGAACATAAATCCCTGCAGATGTTACTTTTAATTACAGCTACCGTGTTCTGATTGGAATGGGTTAAGATAGTAATTTCACGGGTGTGTTTTGATCTGAATAATTGATTTCTAATTTGTGTCTGTACATCAAAGAGCAGCGACGGTATCGTTTAATTGAGATGAGGTCAGACGATGCGCTGGGCTTCGACAAAGTTGTACCTACTAGTAATGCACCTGGATGCGGGCTGCGCTAGACCGGCCGTTGTGGAAATCTTTGGGGGAGGCCTTTGTCCAGCAAAATTATCACCAGCCACTACTATAGCGTTGATTTGTTTAAAGTGTGCTGATTGGCATGATGTCTTTTATCACCTAATGATAGGAAAGGATATTATACCCATACTCTGTTAAATAAATAAAATCTTTGGACAATTACACACAGCGCCAGCTAGCTCCAAAATAAGCAACTTATTATGCTTGTGTCATGGGTGCTAGCTTAACGAATATAGGTACTACCTTTATACTTTTTTATATGAAGATTTATAATTGTACTTACTGGAATCAGAATCAATTAATTTTGAACTTAATAATACAAGTACCTAAAATGTATAGTTTATGCTGGCATTCCGGTCACGGAAGCACCTGGATGCGGGCAGCGCAGGATAGGTTCTTGTGGAAATCCGTACGAAAAGTCGTTGTATAGCAGAAGATTCCATTAGGTTTAACCGAACAATGACGATGTATATTCAATGGCACACTCCTTTTAAGTTAATTGGGAAAGACTGGCTCTTTCTGCAGGTTAAAATTACGACTTCTAAAAATACAAAATAGCTTTATTGTAAGTGAGGGATGTAAATACAAAATGATAATGCGGTCCAACACCACGCAAATACTTCAACTCGTGGACAAGTTTTTACCCGAGACAACCCAGCGAGGCGTTCCATATCATTACAAGAAAAAAAGCGAGCCAAAAATCAAAA